ACACTGCAAACCGTAAAAAAACCGAGCTTTTTTTCTTCTTTTTTTTTTATATATTAAAAAAACAATTTTACAATTCTGTTTTTTTGGGTTTTTTTTTTTCTTTCTCCCTCTACACACATGCACAAGGTCTCGGCTCCGCGGGGATTTAAGAACAACAAAAAGAAAGTTTATTCCTCTTTAAATTCCAAGTGTGGAACACCTCGGGGGGGCGCCCCCGACCCTTTCCAAGGCCTCCAGATCTGCTCTTGCTCACTGAATTCTTTTTTCTTTTCTTTTTTCTTGCAGTAAAACAACCCCAAATTGGGCTCCTGGCGGCACCAACCCCAAAGGGCTGCGTGTGTAAACGGGACTGGAAGCTGCACAGGGCTGAGCGGAGTCACAAAGCCACAGAAAGTCTGGAAAATAGAAGAGATTTCCAGAAAAATCCCTGGGAATTTGGGACAGTCCCCCCCCCCCCTCCCCATACACACGCTACATCCCACCCATTTTGTGCTGGGAAAGCCCTTGAAATCCACTTGGATCTGTTTTCTGCTACTGGTGCTTACTGGGAAGCCCCCAGCCCCTCGGATAGGGGGGGATGTGTGTGTCACAGTGATGAGGTTTGGTAGCTCTCAGGGCCAAAGAAGCCCAAACCTGGCTCGGGGTGACCCCCAGCATGACAAAAATGGATAAATACAGGAACCCCCATGAGGTATTGGCAGCCCTCACACAGCTGAGGGAAAGCAGAAGCTGTGGTGCAGCCCTGAGCATTGGGGTCCCCCTGCCCCGCATCCCTGGGGCCACCTCATCACCACCTCCATGGGACAGGAGCCGAGGAGCCCACAGAGCACGGTCCCCATGAAGAAGCCCTTTGGGGTCAGCACCAAGGCCTGGGGGTAACTTTGGGCTTGTCCCACTGCAAGCCATGGGGTGCTGCACCCCAAACCCCACAGCCCTTCACCGGCCCTGTTGGTGGTGATGATGGACGGGTGGACTCCATGATCTTCTCCAATCTCAGTGATTCTGTGGTTCTGGCACACGTTGGAATGGGGTAACGGCCCTATGTGAGGGGTGTGCTGGGAGCTGGAGGTGGGCTGGGGTACCCACAGCGCTGGGATGTTTCTCAGCTTCATCGTCAGACCTCCTGCTTCTGTGAGGAGCTCCATGCCCAAAGCAGTGGGGAGCTGAGGGTCTCCCGTAGCAGCAGCACCGTGCCTGTGGGGTCTGCCCCGGTCACGGGGCAGAGAGATGGTTCCATAGCAGCCTCAGATCACAGGGGTTTGCAAAACACTCCCAAAGTGTCGTTATTACCAACCAGCCCAGACACAGGTGGTGCTTTAAGACCGGAGACGCAGCGGTCGCAGCAGAAGAGGAAGACGCAGGAGATGCTTCAGACCTGGCCACGAGCGAGGCTGCTGGTGCAGAGAACTCAGCCAAAGGTCAGCCCTTGGGGGGATGGCACTGAGATGCTGCCCGTCTGGCTGTGACACTGTGCTGTGCTGGCAGTGCCTCCTGGGGATGGCTGCGAGGAGCTGGGTGTGGGAGCGTGGGGATGGGCACCGAGCGGCCTCGTGCCAGGGATGGGGCTTGGTGCTCAGGGACCTGCACGACCCAGGCCACCCTGGAGCCCCTGCAGCGCTCTGTGTGCTCACACGGAGGTCTCAGACTGCAGCCTCATGACGAACTTGTGCGACTTGGGGTCCACAAACTCCTCCGAGAGCTTGAAAAAAGGGATCTTCTTGGCGCTGATCACCAGGCTGAAGTCGTGGCGCTTCAGCACGAAAACCACCCCGTCCTTCAGACCGTTGGTCACTGGCTCCTCGCTGACCAGCGTCCACTGCTTGGCCAGCCAGCGGTCCTTGTGGTATTGGATAGTGGGCCCGGCGCTCAGGTACCGCTCCAGGAACGCCTGCAGGAGGACAGACGTGTGAACATCACCTTCACGCTGCTCACATTTCTATTTATTTGCAGCCCCGAGCTGCCCAGCAGGTCCTGCAGGAAAAGCCTCCCAGCAGCTGGGAACCTGCCCCATCCATCCCTCCCTTGCTGTCACACCCGCTTTTCCAGCTGCACAGCACTGCTCTCCCACCCCTCACCCTGATGAGAGATGCTTTCACGTAGCTGGGCAAACCCACCCCAGGATCCCACAGCCCGCTCCACATACCTTGGGCGTCATGTCGTGGGTGATGCAGAACTCAAGGTGCTGCAGGATGCTCTCCATGGTGTGGTAGGGCTGCTGCTTGGTGGTGCGCAGGTACTTCTGCATGGCCCGTGCCATGGAGGCGAAAATGGCCTGGGCTGCCTCCCGGGGGTCCATGATCTCCCGTGGGTTCTTCTGGTCCTCGTCCTGCAGCCGCTTGATGTGGGTGAAAGCCTCTTCCACTGCCACCACCAGCCTGTCGAGAAACACTCATGCTGTCCCCCTTGGAGACCTCCAAAAGCCACTTGGATGTGGCCCCGTCCCCATGAGCCTGGAGGAGCCACCTGGCACCTCACCACCCCGCAGCCCAGACTTGAACTCCAGCATCAACCCCAAAAGCACTTCACCCCAGCACCACCACCCTGCTCCAACTCCCAGCCTCAGCACCTTTGGGGAGACTCAAATCTGCTCCCTCCATCCCAGCTCCCTGCGGCAGGGAGATCCTGGGACGGTTCTTTAGAGCCCCCCATAGCCCACTCCCCACTGACGTCCCCATACCTGGCGCGGCGTTTCCGCACCCTGCGCTCATGCTCTGCCTCCTCATAGTAGTACTCATTATGGCTGTTGTCACGCCGTCGGGCAGCCGCAGCGATGACAGCCCGGGACTGCCCCGTGGAGTTGTTGGTGGTATTTTCTGCAGGAAAAGGGGTGAGATGTTCCCCTTCCCAGTGCTGCCAGCACAGCCCCATCCCATGGACGCGCCCGACGTGCTCCTGCTTGCAGCAGGGCGGTACTGCTGCGGCTTGGAAACCGGCACCCAGCTTGCCCGCGACAAATGCATGCAAATCCGGAGAGACCGGCTGGGAGCTCAGCATGGGATGGAGCCTGCAGGGGGTGAGGGGGGGGAAAACACTGGGACAGGAAGAGGGGGAACAAGAGGAGAAGTCAAGGGAACGGGAGCTCACCCTCGCCGAGGGAATAGACTTTAAACCCGGACATTTTCTTGGACAGGACGGATTTTGGCAGGTTGAGGAGGGCAGGATTGTAGACTGGGAAATCGTGGTAATAGTTCTCCAGGATCCAGATGGCTGCTCGTTGGATGCTGCAGGGAGACACAGCGGGCTCAGGGCACAGAGAGCAGGTTAGCACATGGGGACAGGACAGGAGGGAGGAACAGAGCTGGCATTCCAAACACAGATCTCACTGCAGGGGACACCCGGGCACTCACAGCTCCTCCGGTCAGGGATTGCCGGAGCGCAGCAGGACGCAGCATGCACACATCCAGCTGCACGTCCATGAACATACACGCAAAACACGCATGGATGCAGATGTGCACACAAAATGCACACATAAAGATGCACACACACATGGGAGTGCACAAGCACCCGCACAGCCTGAACCCACCCAACCACCGGTGCTGCTCCCCAACCCCGCACCTGAGGTGCCCGACGTTGTAGAAGCGGCTGGCCCCGTCGGTGGAGCGCACGGCCTTGAGCGTGAACTGGGGCTGGAGCTGGCGCAGCTCGAGCAACACCACGGCCAGGTAGTGCACGAAGAGCAACGCGTCCACCAGCGAGACAGCGTACTGCACGATGCCCTGGTAATTGCGGTCCCGCGAGTCCAGGATGCGCACGCCGTAGAAGAGCCAGTAGGAGACGACCAGGAGGAAGACGAGCACCATGAGCAGCGCACGGAAGACGAAGACGCGCGGGAAAAAGGCCTTGGGGCGGCGAAAGAAGAGCGCCCAGCTGCCCAGCAGGAGGATGAGGAGTTTGAAGGCCACCGAGATGAAAAGCCCCTCGCAGGGCGTCCCACAGGGCTCCAGCTCCTCCCGCCACAGCAGCTGGGGCAGCAGCATGAAGGCGAGAGGGGTGAGGAAGGCGAGCAGAGCCAACGCCCCGGCCAGCGCGACGCCCAAGTGCCGTGAGCAGTCCAGGTGCGCGCTGTCCTCCATGTCCTTGGTGATGCGTGTGATGTCATCGTGTGAGATGCTGTGCTCCGACGTCCCCGTCACCACCGTGGTGGTCTCGCCCCAGTTGTCATCCTGGGGAGGGGAGAGGGTTACAAAACGTGAGGCTGCAGCACCGCGGGATCCCAACGCAGCCCGGTGTCCCACCCCCCACCCCAAACTCAGACCTCCAAGCCTGGAGTGCTGGCCGGAGCCATCACCCCCATTGAGCAGCCGAGGGACAGAGCTGCAGGCAGCGCCCTGCAGGAAATCCCCGTCGGAGGCTCCGTGCTGCGCTCCACCTCTCCGCCCCGCACGCGCGACGCGGCCGAGAGCGGCTCTGCAAGTGGAAGGCATTCTGTTTCCAGGCAAATCCCCTCATTAGCAGGGCCAGAGCCAACATGCCCAGCCCCGTCCTAACGCTGCCTCCTCCTCCGTGCAGCTCCAGCACCAGGCAGAATGAGATCGGTGGTGATCCGCGCTGGCGGCCAAACGCCGGCTCCCCATGAGTGCATTTTGGGGTATGCATCTCTCCCCGGAGAATGCAGCAGTTTGCTGAGATCTTCAGCCTCTTTTCCTTATTGGTATGTTGGTTTTTTTTGTTGGTCTGCTGCTTTCTTCAGATACATTTACTGCAAAACCTCCATGCAAAAGATCCAGCAGCTGGCACACCCCTTCCCAAACACAGTGAGGCAGTCTTGCAGCTCAGCTGCCCCGGGTCCATTCATTTCTTTTTTTTTTCCACTGAAGTCACACGGGTGTGGATATGAGCTTCATTCCCTTCCCAGTTAGCACACAAAGCTTCAGCAAAGGGAAAAGACGTCACCACAGAGCCATAGGAAACACCACTCTGACACACCGAGGGTTTGTCTGTCCATCCATCCTCTTGTTCTGCTCTGGCATAACCAAAGCTGGAGGTTCTATTGTATAAGATGAAATTGTGATTTTCGTCCTGGAATTTCCACATGCTGGAGGCTTCGTTCCATACTGGAGCAGCAGAATCACCCCCAGCAGGGGCTCTCTGGAGGGGTGGGGAGCGAAAAGGATGGAGGAGCTGGCACACAGCTTGGACCCCTCCAAGCACCCTTTGTGTCCATGCAGAGCATCGCTTCTCAGGGTCAGTGCTGCACAACTTGGGCTGGAGCAGCCCTCTGGAGGCTGCAGGTCTCGCACCACCAGCACAGAGTTCACCCAGCTGCACAAACCCGCTCGTCTGTTTGATCCTCCCAAAGCTGGAGCTGGGGTTATTAAAGCTTGGCAGGGCCAGGCGGCGTCGCCCTGCAGGCGCTGAGCAAAGAGCCGGAGTGGATCCGGAGTGAGCTGATTCCAAAGGCACCAACCCCAAGGGAGATGATCCCAAAGGCATCAATCCCAAGGGAACCGATTCCGAAGGCGTCCATCCCAAAGAAACCACTCCCAAAGGCACCAATCCCAAGAGAGCTGATTCCAGGGGAACCGATCCTGTAGGTGCTGATCCCAAGGAAACCCATCCCAAGGGAGCTGATCCCAAAGGTACCAATCCCAAGGGAACTGATTCTGAAGGCGCTGATCCCAAAGAAACCACTCCCAAAGGCACCAATCCCAAGAGAGCTGATCCCAAAGGCATTTTCTACCCTGGGCAGCGGGAGGGCAGCTCATGCAGCAGCCCCATCTCCTTCCACATGCCCCCCTGCCCTGACACCCACAATTCACACCCCCCCACTCCATCCTCACCCTCTCATCCCCCCGGGTTGATTCGTTGTCCAGCAGAGGCTCTCCTGGTGCTTGGATGGTCACTGACTTGTCCCCACGGCTCCCATCCCGGCTCTTGGAGCGGTGCCGATCCCTTCGGTCCCTGCAATGCATAAAGGGGGGAGGGGGCACAGTGGGTGCACATCCAGGTTGGAGACCAAGGACCCCAGAAGCACACATCAGTCCTCACCTGTGCTTTCGGGAGCTACGGGAGTGCCCGGATTTATAGGAGTAGCCCGAGTACTGTGACTCATTGTCCATGCTGTCGGCACGCCGGGGTTTGTGCCGCTCCACGCCGGGGGGCTTGGCTTTGCCTGACCCCGGGATGGCCACGGCCTCCTTCAGAGGGGGCTTCTTCAGGCCAAGGGGCACCTTCAGGAAGTCGACCGTCACCTTGAGGGACTCTATTTTGAATGCTGGGCTGGGCTGTGCTCGGAGAAATGGGAACGGCCGCCTGCAGGGGGAGGAAACACGGGCTCAGGGCACTGCCACGGCCCCCACACCCACACCATGGGACTCCTGGAGTTTTGCTGCCCGTAAGCATCCCCATGGCTGCAATAGGGCCAGCACCTGCCTGCAGTCCCTATGAAACAGGAGCTCAGCGGGCAAAGGATGGAGAAATTTGGGGCATTTGGGGGCATCTTGCATTTTAGACCCAAGCTGGTTCCAGGACTGCCACCTCGTACCGTGAGCTTTGAACCGAGCTCTTTCGGGTGATTTACACTTTAATGAATATCACAATCGTTGTTTTAATTTGCCAAGAGAGTGCCTGGGGTGGGAGCCAACTTTAAAAAGAAAGAAAAAAAAAAAAAGAAAAGAAAAAAGAGCCTGGCGCAGGCTCCAGCCCCACTCACAGTCTGGGGCTCTGCCCAAACAAGTTCCCAACACGGAGCTGCCATCTCACACTGATCAGCGCAGCCCCGTGGACACAGTGAGGCTGGGGGCTCTGGGCACAAGGGTGGGACCCCAGCCTCAAACTGCAGCTGTGTGAATTGGAAATGCCCATGCACACATAAGTGGTGTACATGTGGTGTGCCCATCTATGCCTGCGTTGGGCTGTATCTCTGCTGAACTGGGAAAACAATGCATGGCTCAGGGGCTGGAGTGCTGCTCGTGCCCCATCTGCTGCAAGAGAGGGACTCAGATTGAGGGGTGGCCACAGTGATACCCTTGGGGAACATCCAGACCCACCAGGGAGGTGGCAGCCCCCTGCTTGCCTCTTCTAGATCCCTGATGACCATCAGCACCCTGACTCCCCACTCAGCCCCCCCCCTCCCCACCCCAGTGCACACCAGAGCTGCCTGTGTTTGGGTGGGTAGGTTACCAGGGAAATGCTATTTGGACCAAATAAAACCCGAATGTCTTTTGGCCTTGGAGAGGGAGAAATGGGGTCGAGGAGGGGAAAAAGAAGCAAAGGGCGGTGGGGTGGGGGGGGGGATGGACAAGGACCCCCTTTTGTCCCAGATGCTGGATGCTCGCACATTTATCACTATGGAAACAAAAGCCCCCCCATGCCGGTTGTCTAGGAGATGGCAGCGGGGCTGGGAGCTCGTCCCGGCGTCCCCAGCGAGCGATGGGGGAAGGGGCAGGGAGAAAGGGACCCCCCCTCGGCCCCCTGGGGCCCCCCCCCCCCCCCCTTTCTTCTGGGCTTTGTTGGGAGGCCGGGATCGGGTTTCTGGCAGGAACAATGCTTGGCGCAGGGGGCCATGGCTGGGCTTTTCCCCAACCCTATTCATTAGCGCCATTAAGGAGCTGGACACCGTGGGCTGGAGGAGGCACGGGGCTCGGGGACAGCTTGGGGACAGAGCAGGACTCACCAGCCGAGCTGCAGACGGGTGCTGTCCCCGTCTGACTGGTCACCGGGGCGCGCGGGGCATCGTCAGCATGCAGAGGGGACGGCATCCAGCTGGCAGGCAATGGGGCATGGGCACTGCTCACACGTCGGGCTCCAAGCTGAGGGGAAAAAGGAAGGGGGAGTCAGGAGGGAAGGAGGATTCCTGCCCCACCCGTGGGGCACCATGTCCCCTCCCGTGGATCTTCAACACGAGCATCCTAAGCAGGTCACCTCCCCGGCCACCTGCAAAGGACAGGCTCACCTCAGGGGACTGAGCCCAGCAGCCTCACAGCACAGCTCACCGTGCTGTGCATCGTGCACTGTCCCCTCCCTGCTATCACCCATCCTGCTACCCTCCCTCCCACCTCCACTCAGGGAAGAACAAAGCCCCTCCTGCATCACCCATGGGTCCCATTCAGACCCGATCCCTCCTTGAGCCAGTATCAGGACAGGGATTTATTATTATTATTGCTGTTCAAAAAGAAAAGTTCACCCGGCGGGGGGGGTGGGGGGTGGGGAAAGCCGGTTCGACAGCACAGGTGGAGGAGCTGGAAATGGTTCCCTTGGCTCTGCCCTCCCCTGCGCCAGCAAAGCAGTGCCGAGGGCTGGGAGCCACAGCCAGACACAGGCAAATGAGGAGGAAAACTCACTTTTCTAATAGCGAGGTGATTAACTATTAGAACAAACTCCCCAGGGGAGGAGAGGCTTTGCCATCTCTTGACATCTTCAAGTCCAGACTGGATGGCGTTTGGGATGTGGCTGCAGTGCATCATGGCTTCAAAGTGCCAAGAGCTTGGATGGGGCTGAGGGCCCCCAGCACATGGGGGCAGAAGGAGCTGCCATCTCCCCACCCCTGAGCCCATACATCTCCAACACCAACGATCCCTTGTATTCAAATGACCCCAAAAGATCCAAGTGCTTCTGTATGGGAAAGCTCTCTGATTTCAAACAGCTCCGGGGAAAAGCCCAACAAGCAAACCTGCTCTTCCTCTTCCCAGCAAGGCAGAGCAAAACGACGTTATGGGGCACTCTCTGCCCATCCCATTCACCACTGGGACTGTAAGCATCACGGGGACCACGAATGCGCAAGAGACAGAGATGGCATTTGCTGGAGGGACAAAGCATTGCTGTTTCCCACCAGAGCAGCTGAGCAGAAGAGGCAGCAGGGAACACCTGCAAAGCATGGAGGGGTGAGCATTTCCCTCCTCAGTGCAGTAAAGCATTAGGGAAACTGGGTCAAGCAGCATCACACTGGGGGTCTGGGGTCCTGGATTCCAGCGTAGGGCTCCACTGCTGCTGCAAGCCCAGAGGGCTGCCAGGGAAAACTGAGGCACAAGCAGGAAACCTTATGGGACACTCAGCCATGCTTCACATCATGACTTTTAGGCTGGCCTTGGCAAGGCTGATCCAGGAAACAGCACAACAAGCATCCCTCTGTGGGGTACCAGGTGGGCACAGGCTGTGGCTCCAGCACAGCCCCCAAAACAGACCTAACACAGCCCCAAAAACAGACCCAGTGCAGCCTCCAAACCCACAGCTCCCCACAGCCTGGGAACCAGGGCAACTCCTGCCCTGGTGATGGCTCTGCCAAGCCCTGCACCCAGCACATCTGCTCGCTCCACTGCATCACCACGCCTTGCTGCCTTCGCTCAATAGGCACTGGTCCCTGGGCAGCCACTGCCTTGGCTTTTTACAGTGACAGTCACCACTGCCCCCCTGCGCCCCACAATCAACGGGGACAGGAACAGAGCAGCGGCTGTGGGTGCATCCCTGGGATGCAGGAGGCTGTCAGACACCCACAGGTGATACACAATGCAGAAAGCTCCATGGGTGCTCTGCAAGGAACTGGAGATGGAGAGGACCAGGCAGGAGCCGTGACCACTTGGCACAGCATCTCCCCACTATGGCACGAACACAAAGCCCTCTCCCCACCTGGCACCTCCTTGTCACGTCTCCTCCTGCTGCCTGGAGCCCCATACTGGGAAGCAGCCCTTGCAAAGGGGTTGCTCTGCTCTGTCGGAAGCCGAATGCCCCGAGGTGCCACCATCACGCTCCCACGGAGGACTCTGCAAACTTCCACATGGGAAGAGATCCGTGGGCCAGCAGCTTCAGTGGGACGCACAGACAGCCCATGGGAAGACCAAGCAGCTTAATCCAATTCCCCCATGGGGTCCCATTCTGCTCTCAAATTGCTCAGCGTCAGCTTGGATGCAGAAGGTTTAATATCCTTTCCCAACTGCCAGCTTTAATTACGATCACGCGGGATTGTTACAATATCCACAGGAACGTCCTGTGAGCACCCGAGGATTCCCACTGTGCTGCAACAGACAAAGCACAGCCATCCCCCTGCTGCAGCTCCACTTCGGAGCACCCGCTGCCTCCATGCAGGTAGGAAGGGCCGTGCCAGGTGCAGAACCAGAAAATGCACCAAAAGCAAAGGATTTGCATGAGGGCTCGCTGCAAAGAGAAAACCATTTGCATTGCAAAACGTGACAGCTCCCAGGAGCCTCACTGAGCTGCACCTTTCCCTGCCCTGCAAAGCGCTCTGCTTGCTGCTGCATTGCTCCAAATGGGACAGCACTGTGGTGCTCAGCCCAGCGCAGGGCATGCAGCTCCCAGGGCATCACCATGTGCTGCTCCTGCTCCATGCGCACCCACGGAGTGACAGCCTTGTGGTCACATCAGTCCCAGATGTCCACGAGGTGCTGGGGCAGAGCAGGGCTGTGTGCTGTCCCACACCGTAGTTTTGGGGCGTTGCTTCTCCAAAAGCATCGTGGGAAGCTCCGATGCACCACAGCGATGCCACAAAGCACAGTTCCTACCCCAAAGCAAGGCTCGCTGGATAAACAACGGCGCTTGGAGATGTGTTCTAGCTCTGTTTAATCCATTCCAGGTGCCTGATGCTAAATCCTGCAGGGCTGCGACGGGCAGACGGCGGTGTCCATGGCTCCAAGCTGGAAAGGCAGCACAGGACTGGGGGTGGCAGAGATGTGGTTTGGTCTCGCAGTGACTCCAGCCCCATTCCATCACCCTGTGACAGCTCCATGTGGGGCAGCCAGGTGAGGAGAGCCGTGCCTTTGCTGCTCCAGGGCCTTGCCCAACATCCCGGCCAAACAATAAAGCCATAAAGCATCCACTGGCCACACCGGCCCGGAGATCTCAGATGTGCTCAGACCGAAGACCTGGAGCTGCTTCAGCTGTGCTTGATGCTGGGAGATGAGCTCTCACCTTCCCCCACGTCCCCTCCAGCCCCATTGTCTGCGATCAGATCCAAACGAGACACCGCATCGCATCACCCAAACAGCCAAAGCAATCCTGGCAGAGGAGTGAGCACCAGCAATGCCCTTCCTGGGGTAACCCTTCCCAGCAGGGAATCCCCCAGGACAGGACAGCTTTCCTCCAACACTGCCAGCTGCGAAGCATTCCCAAAGCACCACATATCCCAGGAACGTGTGGGTACCACAAACACGGGGCCATCCCAAAGACCCCAAACCCTGCAGGGATGATGGGCGCTGCTGATGGAACAGCAGGGGGGGTCCGGGCTGCCCCATATCCCACAATGCCAGGAGCCACAGGCACACAGCATCCCAGGCAGCTCCCACGGAGCCCTCTTGCCATGCCCCCCTCCCCCCCCCCGGCCCGACCCAGCACTCCCCCAGCACAAAGACAACACCGGGTTGTGTGCAGATCGCATCGCGCTGGGGCTGCCCCCGAGCCCGGCTCGGTCCCAACACAATCCCAACCGCTGTGATTAAGTAACAGCCGTCCCCAGGGGCCCCGTGAAGATAATATTTAATTCTTCTCTCTTGTTATTATTTTTCCCCCCAAGCCTCCGCCTCGGTGATTACAACACGGCCTGGCGGGGGGGTGTGGAGGGTTCAGCTCCTTGCTCCCGGAGATTGCAGCTCCACACGGGACGCGGAGCTCACAGCATCGGGACAGACCGAGCCCGGCCCGAACGGGGCTGTCCCAGCAGGTGAGCGGTACCGGGCAGCCCCTACCTCACCGTTCCCCTCCCTATCCCGACCCCAGCCCCGTGCCCCACTTTGCTCAGAGGAAACACAAAGAGCTCAGGCACGGAGGTTTGAGATCCGCAATCACTGCACGGCAAAACCCAACGCCGGTCCGGCTGGGCCCGAGCATCCCCCGCGCTGCCCCCCGCGTCCCCTCCCCGCCCCGCAGCGCTTCCCCCCGCCGGGCCGCGGCCCACGGAAGTCTCCGTATCCCCCACCCCCCCAACCCCTCCAGCACACCGCTGAGCCCCGGCCCCGCCGCCCCCACCCGGCCCCCGCCCCACGCTCCGCACTCACCGCGCCCCGCACCTTTGTGAGCGTCCCCCCCCGCACCGAGAGCCGCGGGATCCCGAGGCTGCGGCGGAGGAGGCGGAGGAGGAAGGAGGAGGAGAAGGAGGAGAAGAAGGCGGAGGAAGCCCCAGATCCCGGCGGAGCGGTCCCGCAGCTCCGCACTCTCCGGCCCCACCGCGCCCCGGGCCGGCAGCTCCCGCCCCGCCGGCGGCCCCGCACCGCCCCGCAGCCCCCGCCCGCGCCGACGCTGTTCCCGGCCGCTCCCCCCCCCCCCCATAATGCGCACCGCCCATTGTCTCCGCGCGGCGCTCCCGGCGCCCCTCCGGGGCTCAGCACGACGGGGGGGGTCATTGTCTGATGCGGCCCCGAGGCTCCCAACCCCGGCTCCGAGGGGACGGCGCGGCTGGGAGGGGGGGTATCCGCCCCCCCCAGGGGGTGTTGCTCGCAATGGGTGTGGATATGGGGAGGCCCCGGCGCCGCTCCCCACCCGCGGGGGTTCCCATCCGCCCCAGCGGAGACCTTGGATGAGCAGAGTTCCTTTGCACAGGGACAAGATTTTTGTCCGTTGGGAGGCGACCTGGAGGGGTCTTGGGTTGTGCTTCCCACTCCCAGCTTTTTCGCCCAGCTCTGGGTGCTTTTGGGGCTGGAGCGTGAACAAATAGCTTTGCGTGGCCTCCCCATAAGTCTGCCCCTATGAAAGCTGCATGCAGCACGGTGACCAGGGCTGCCCGGCTCAGTCCACGTCCATCATAACCAGAGCAGAGCATCCCAGCTGAAGGCGCTGGTGCAGGGCCCAGCTCTGAGCTGAGCGAGAGCACCTGGAAGCCCCAGGAACGAGGAGGTTACTCAGCTGAACTCCGCAGGGAACGGATAGGGCTACAGGGGGAAGCACGTACAGGCAAACCCCACCCTCTGGGAGAAGGAATGCAGGCAACCAACGAGGAAAGAGCAGGCTGAGCCCTGCAGAGCCCTCACGCCAGGATTTGGGGTCCCCAGGGGGGCAACGAGGAACAAGCACTCGGAACAAGCACTCAGCAGCAGCTCCGCCCCCCCAACCCCAAGAAACGAGGTAGGAAAGCAGCAAGCTCTGCTCCCCCCATCTATTGGAGCATCGGGGGTGCCCCAAATCCTCTATTAGCTGAAAGTGCGCCCCCTCCTCCCCCCCCAAAATGGGCTGGGTACACTCCTGCGGAACCTCCTGCAAACCCACGTCCTACTGGAGGACAATTACCAGGCTCTGAGCTTAAAGTGGGGGGTGAGCAAAGGGGGGGACCCCCCCCAAAAAAATGCATACAGCGAGGATGCCGCGGTGGGGGGCACGCCCGCTGCCTGGAACAGCCGCCCTGGGAGCGCGGCCCTTTATATCAATGGGAAACTGGGATGGGAGGGAGCCGGGCCGCCCCCCCCCCCCCACGCCGCCCAATGGAGAGCCGCGCTGCCCTCCCGGTGCACACCATTGGCGAGATTTAAATGGCTTGTTTGGCCTTAAAGGGGAGGGAAGAGGCGTTAGGAGATGAGTTTGGGGATTTTTTTTTTTTTTCCTTTTTTCTTTTTTCCACCCGGATGCTGTGCTGGTTATAGGCTGGAGGCCCTCATGGTCACCCCCCCACCCCCCCCTTTTCCATGCCACTACGGTAGAGGCGTTGGGCAGGTGGTGCCTGGCAGCGTTTCTTCCCCGCAGCCCTCCAGAGCACATGGCTGGGAGCGGGGAGGAGGATGGAAAGGGCAGCTGGGGGATCCTTCAGCCGCACCGTTTGTCCCTCCTTCCATCTCTCATCCAGGAGAAACCAGCCCTGCGTTTTGGTTTTGTTTTTTTTTTACCTTTGGGTGACACAGTGCCCGACCTCTGGGGTTGCTGGGGATAATTCTGTCTGTATTGTATAATAGCGATGCTGCATCCAGCAGCAGTCCTGGAGATGGATCCCAGCTCGTTCGGGTCTCCTGGCTCAGAGCTGGGGAAAGGCGGGGGTGGGGGGGGGGTTACTGTCACCCTTATACGTGGCTCAGTGGCTGGACTGGGGCTTTAGGGCTTGCTATGGGGTGGGTGCCTCGCTGTTCTCCCCTCCCTTCCCCCTGCAGCCAGCTGCCCCGGGCTGTCCTCCGGCTCCAGGAGTGATTAATGGGCCCTGGGAGCTCATTCCTGGCCAGCTGGGGGTGCAGGAGCCTCCTTGCCATCTGGGAAGGGCCGCATTGTTCCACCTGGTGATTTACAGGGTCTGTCCCCTCTCTTAAATCCCACGTCAGGCAGGTTATGGCACTGGGGCTCAGCAGTGTAGCACACATCTCTTGGGGACAGTGGCGTCCCCAGCACCAGCTCTATGATGTCTCATCCTGGAAATCTCCTCCGAAGAGCCTTTATTCCCCACCTCGTGTTACAGGGAGGGCCCCTGAAACCCCTCTCTTCGCCACCACCCCAAAGGCTGCACCCCAGCAGGTTTGGCCCCAGGACCCTACCTGTGTCACAGCTGCATCTGTTGCTCTATGGGGACAAAGAGAGGACCACAAACAAACAGCTCAGGAAGTCTGAGTGTCCTGGAAAGCAGCATCCCTGCCACAGGCTGGATCAGAAGCATCCACACCATCTTCCCCCTCCCCCCCCATCCCACCGCACTGATGTTTGTCTGCAAGCCCCTGGGGCAGCACAGTCCAGATTGCCCTCCTGACTGCAGCCCCACAGCTGCAACTAAACCTGGGGACACCCGGTGCTGAGCAGCTGTGCACCCCCTCCCCTGGATCCCTGATCTGCGCCGATGTCATCATCATCATCGCTCACCTCTGCTGATGTCATCATCTCTCATCTCTGCCAATGTTATCCCCGCACCGGCGCGAGGCCCCAGATGGTTTTCCCTGCTCTGAAAGAAAGGGGTTCTGCTCTCTGTTCATCCCAGCATCATCCCTTCAGGTCCAGCATTGCCCCTCTGTGGACCCCGAGAGCACTGCTGGCTGCTGCGAGCGCTGGGGCGGCTTTGGGAACATCCCCTAGGATGGACCCCCCCCCTCCCCTTCTCACCACCCAGCCTGGGGTGCCAGCAGCCGGCGTCAGCCTATAGGACCCTGTCATGGGGACCCAGCAGATGGCACTGCCGCCTCACGTAGAGGAGATGGGGATGCAGCTGCTGCCTGTGGTGACATCCCTGGGGTCAAGGCCACCTGCTGGGGGCACGCCAGGCCCTGGCAGGCTGCGACGAAGGGATTCCTTCCCCCTTCCCAAAGTGGGTTGTGCCCTCCTGCACCGCTTCTCTTGGGGGACAGAGAGCAGCAGGGAGGTGGTTTCATGCAAGTCCCCTTTTTGGCACGTTTGGGGCTATTTTGCATGGTTCCTTTTCAAATTGTTGGGTGAAGGATTCCCTGTGCAAACATCTACCTGCGCACTCAGTATCACCTGGAGAGTACGAAGGGACGGATACGTGCATGGAGAGAGCAGGAAGCAGCAGTGGGAGCAGAGACAGAGCAGGGAAGCACCCAGGGAGCAGAGACCCTGAGCACAAAGAGCGGATGAGGGACTCGATCTGTCTGAGGCGACAGTGAGGCCGGGAGGAGAGTGAATGAGCATGAAGTGCTGCCATTGTGCGTGGCACAATGAGGACCATATGTCAGGGCCGGGGCTGGCAGCCGGGGACAACGGAGGTCTGGGAGCCACGCAGGGGCTCGAGCTCCCCTTACTTCATCCCCACCTCCATGCTGGTGGGGAGGGATGGGATGGAGATGTGTCCGGTGAGTGGGGCAGGTTGGGAGTGCTGGGGGCACCTCCGATCTCCATCAGCTGCCATCGCCCCCGGCTCCCCCTCTTTCCCTGCCTCCTTCCCCTGCTCCCTCCCCATCTTTATTATTTCCCCTTTGACGCATCTCCGTTGAGCCGAGCGGCTGCCGAGGCCAATTGATTATATGAAGAAATTTGGAGCAAGTCGACGAACAGCTGCAGCCTGCCCCCCGGGGGATGCTCGGGAGCAGCGCAGACAAAGGAGCCGCAAACTTGCTTCCCCACATCACACGGGGTGGGCTGAGGGAGCAGGAGGGCACCGGGGGCTCGTGGGGACAGGGCAGGGGATGTGGAGAGGGAATAGAGGGGCGCAGGGAAGTGATGTTGGCTATGGAGCTGAGGTTGTGCTGATCGCTCAAGGAGAGCGAAGGTGGCTCAGTTGGGGATGCTGGTGCCTGGAGCAGATGTCCCCATCTCTCTTCTGACACTGGGGGGGATGCTCATCACATTGCCACCACTGCCTCCAGAACCCTGCGGCTGCTGGGAGGAGGTGGTCAGAAAGAAAGTTAAAAGGAAAGAAGAAGGGAAGCGGGCACTCCGAGTTCAGGATCTCTTTTGCTGGCAGTTTAATTCATTTCCCCCTCCCCGACTTCCTTGTGAACTCATAAATAATAAATCCTCACACAGTCCGAACAGCCGAGATGAACGCACGCTGGGGCACACGGGGGGTGGGTTGGGCTGCTTTCCACCGTGGTCATTTCTGTTTGTTTGTTTGCTTCCTAAAGATTCCTTTCCGAAAAGTGCACAACACAGCAAATAAATAATAACATTTATCAATAAATTAATTCAATAAATATCCTCGTGGCGCAGGGGTGTGGGCTGAGTGGAGGGGACGGGTGGGCTGCCCTGCTTTGTGCATGTCCCTTGGGGGATGCCACATCCCCAAGCACGTCCCATGGGATGGGGGCAGCGCTGGGGATGCAGGGAGATGGGGTCTGGAGCTGTGGGCAGTGCAAGGGTGGGGATGGAGCTGGGTCATGTCCCACCCTGCAGTGAGCAGCACACTGCCTTTGGGTACAGCGGGCACTTTCTGCTCTGTCCTGGTCCCTGTGGAGCTCTGCTCATGCTCCTGCCACCGCCAGTGCAAAATTAACTCTTAGAAAATAAAGGGGGAGGCAGAGGAAGAGGCAGGGTGTGAAGATTGCTCCGGGGTTCTCAGGGATGTTGGTGCAAAGAGGGTTTGTAAAAGGCCAGGGGTTCCATGCTCACTCTGCTCAGAGCTGAGGTGCAGGAAAGGATGCACAGCTCTGGGATGAGGTGCTCCCACAGTGGGAGGCATTTGGGGAGGTTGGGTGTGCAGCAGAAGGACTCAGCCAGGCCCCAGGTGACAGCAGCTCCAGCCAAGCATAGGCCAGTGTGGCCTCAACACTGTGCAGCTGTGCATGGTGCAGTGTGGCCGGATCCTGCCCTACATCTGCAGCACTCTTGAGCACTCTGTGCCCCACCAGGATGGAGCTGGAGGGGCTTCTCTGTGCACAGGGCAGAGTGCTGGGGAGGTGTTCTGGTCCCCAGGTGGTGTCCTGTGGCTGGAGGGGCAGATGGATGGGACTTGGTGCCTCATGGGGGCAGTTTGTGGCTCGTAGAAAAGAGGCGGGTGAAGATGGAGCAGGTCATGACTGTGGGGATGGATGGATGTGGGCTCAGGATCCTGCTGGCACTATCAGCGGGACATGCAGCAGAAGGACAGACAGACGTTGGGAACAGACGGGCTTCAGGCAGCAGGTCCAGCAGGACAGACAGACGTCTAATGGGCTGAACAGCCTGCTCTGGCTCAGGCAGGACAGACAGACAGATGGATGTGGGCTTGGTGGTGGGGAGATGCAGTTTGGATAGAGGCAGAGTGGGCAGATGGGATTCGGTCCATCCAAGCAGTCAGACAGATGCAGGTGCAGCGCGGTTGGGTCACATCTGGACAGACGTACTCAAGCCCTCGGCCCAGCATGTTTGGGTTGGATACAGATGGGTGGCCGGACAGACAAACAGACACAGGCTGGGAAGCTCAAACATCCAACACATGGTTCAGGTAGGAGATGTAGCAGATGGCCAGGCGGAGGATCTCGATCTTGGAGAGCTTCTTGTCGGGCGGCAGCGTGGGCAGCAGCTTGCGCAGCTCGGCGAAGGCCATGTTGAAGGCTTCCACGCGGATGCGCTCCCTCGTGGCGTGGGCCGTTCGGTATTTGGCCGTGGCTCGTCGCCGCCGTCGCCGTTCCTCCCTGCTCAGGTGCTGCAGGTCCTTCTTCACCGCCTCCCCCTGCTCAGCCCCGCGGGGCTGTGGGCACAACGCGACGCCGGACTCCTCCGCGCTGCCCACGCGGCCGCAGTCGCTGAAGACGGATTCGGGCTCGGAGTGAGAGGGCGGGAGGTCGAGCTCTGTCTGCTCTGAGTTGAGCATGGTGGGTGCGGGTGGGTGGACGGACGGACAGATGGACAGATGCTGAGCTGAGGACGGAGCCAGGTGAAGCGAATCCACTGGGACAGGACCTCCGGCTCACAGCACAGCCCCGCTGGCTCTCCTCCTCCTCCTCCTCATCACACGGCGTCTCTGCACGACTTCAGATTGTTTCCCTTTTTCTTGCTGGAGGGGCGATGGCAATAAACTGAGAGAAAGACAGGATGCATAAAAATACAACAAAAATACAAACATCAGCAGCTCACGAGCAGCTGAACTGGGCTGGGGGCTGTCAGGTGTCAGAACCGAGCTGCAAAACAGAGAGAGGGGCTCAGGGTTGGGAGGGGGGAAGCGTGGACAAAGTTGTGCCTCTCCCTGCTCCATGGTGGTGGCTGGGGAATGGGGATAAGGCTGGGACAGGGACGGGGAAGGGGATGGGGAAAGGGAAAAAGGGGAAAGGGGAAAGAGGTAAGGGGAAAGGGGAAAGGGGAAAAGGGATGGGGAAAGGGGATGGGGAAAAGGAGAAAGGGAAAAGGGGAAAAGAGGAAGGGGATTGGCTCCAGTGGTTGAGACAGAGCTTCAGAGTGGCTCTGGGAGAAGGTGGAAGCTGCTCCTCCCGGCTCTCCGGAGGGATGACAGGTGGTGGATGAGTGAAGGGGAAAAACAGACTGCGGGGGCGAGAGGAAGGGGGGCTCAATTGTATACTAAATGAGCCCGTATGTCATGGATCCTGGCACCCCAGACATATGGAACCCAACACAGCTGCTTTGCTTGATATGTCCAAATAGGAGCTGGCTGCGTGCTCCCTGAGGGCTCCTGGCCCCGGGCTCTTGGTGCTGCGAGCAGGGACCTGTACAGGTGCCCACAGCCTGGGGATGGCTATGGGGACAGTGATCCAGGGCAGGGGATGGGGAATGAACTTTGGAAGGGGAAATGCTGCTGAGCAAAGAGACAGCGGCCGGACTGGGAAGAGAGCCAGGTGGAGATGTACAACATATTACATCTCTCTGGCCTGACAAGCTTGTAATGAGCCATATGACTGAGAAATGGAAACCAAACGAATACAGACAGGTGATGGCTGGGGAGAAATAGCCCACGTCCCATTCTGAAGGTGATGGACAGAGCGCTTGATGTGCTCTCGCAGAAGCACATGCATACATACAGTCCCCACCAATCTCACATGCAATTATGACCATTAATTCCCACCCTTGTTCATATCTCAACCCACCAGGTCTCTGCTCACTCCTGCACATGCCCTCCCTTGCACTGAGATATTCAGATTTTGCTAAAATAAATTACCTGGACTTTTTCCTAGAACACAAACCAGTGAGGCAGTAGAGGTAAAGCACCAAATGCTGAACAAAAAGTTGTTCCTGCAAAGTCCTTGGCCTGGAGAAGAGGGAAGGAGCTGCTTTAGGTATGTGCTGATAGAAAGGCAACTCTTGGGAAGTGACCTTAGGGCTCCGAGTGTCCAATAAACCCCATAATAATGGACTGCATGCTTGGGGGAAGCCTGAGCTGAGCTCTGTGTTTGATGTGCTCTGCTCACTCTCAGCACAGATACAGACCAGCCGTGTTCCAGGCAATGGGAGAAGCATGGAGCTGCACACCTGAAGTTCCTGAAACAGCCATAGGGACAGCAGTGCCTCCCGTGCTCCTTTCACTTTCTCCAGCTCCGTGTTCCTCTCATCCCACCATCCTCTCACCCCATCCCTCCTGCTGGTGGCTCTGCCTTGGAGCATCGCTTCCATCCACTGCCTGGACCTATCGGTGCGGGGTGAGAGAAAGCAGATGGCTGGGCTGCCTCCTTGGATGCTGTCACCCCTGTCAAGTGGCACTCCTGCGCCATGGTGTGCAGAGGGCTGTGGGATGCAGGGTGGTGCTGCCTCTGCATCCACGCATGTAAGTTGTAGTGTCAGCGATGAGTTCTGCACGGGGCCTCTCTCCCTGCTCTCAGGAGGATGTTGGCAGTGGACACCGCACTACTTGCACGAAGGCAAGTTCCAGTGCTGCACCCCCAGTCCTGCTCAGCCTTGCTCCTTCTTTGCAGGGTTGGTCCCCCCTCAATAAGCTCTCTGCATGGGTGCCTTGTACTCTGAGCTGATCTCTGCTCTAGATGAGCCATAAGCTGTCTCCTCCTAAATCCATCTGCAGCAAGAACTCCCCTTGAACCCACACTTGTGCCAGTCCTACCTCCAGCAGAGCTCTGGTGATGCCCCAAGAGAAGCAACGCTTCCAAACCTCACCCTTTTCCTTGTCCTCCATTCCAGCAGTGTGACCATTTCTGAGCACTCCCCACCAGATCCACTCTGAGGCCGTTTGAGTGGATGCTCCTTTCCTTCTTTCTGCTCAGAAATCCCTCTCCTGCCCCTCTTTCACCACCCGACAACCCCACAGCATCGCATCACCGTCCCACCCCAGCAAAGCCGCCTTACCCCTGAGTTGACGACCATTCCCAGGCTCCAGCTTTCCTCTTCCTGAAGCTCAAAGTAATCCAGGAACCGCTCGCTCATCCGTCCATGGAGGAGGCAGAAAGTTGGCGACCTGCTCTGTGGGATGAGCCCCGGGATCCTTGGGGCCCGAGCATGCCACGAATGGGGCAGGAGCTCAAGGACCGTGGGGGGAGATGGACACCAAGGAGGCATGTGCCCCACGCGCTATATATGCACCCCGGCCTCGCACACCGGGTCCGACCCCAGCTGCCTCATTGGCCGCTTCGCTGCTCCCCCCCTCATAAATATTAAAGCCAAGAGAGGGGATGCCATTGGCTGTGGGGGAGGTTGGAGCCCCCGGGAGAGGAGGGAGGTGGAGGTTGGATGTGGTCCTGGAGGGTGGATGGAGGTGGTGGGCTGGGAGGAGGGAGGGAGGAGGGTGGGGGTGCTCCGGGAGAAGGCGACATCTGTTCTCCATGCATATTTCATAAAGGAGAAATGGAGAGATGGGAGTGAGCGTAGGAAGGGGAGAGATGGGCAGGCGTAGCGCTGGGTGGGACGGGAGCGGCGGGGCCGAAGGCGCAGCCCTGCCTGCTGCGGGGTGAGGCGGGCTGCGCTGTGCATGCATCACCCAGGAGTGGAGATCCAGTCCCAGGCAGCTCCAACAGCATCACCGTCCCCCTGTGAGCTGTTGTAAAATTCACCCGGAGTAAAGTTTGGGGAGGAGAGAGAAAGTGAAAGGAAAAGGCACCCAGAGCACGCAAGTGCTGCTTTGACACACTGCTCACCACGAGACAACGATCTCTTTTGCGGGTCAGATTCATCTGAACCTCTCGCCCATTCTCCGATTTCAAATTCTCCCATTAAACTCTGCCTTGAAAAAAATCCACTCTGTTAACAGTTCTCTCCCGGCTCTGAAAGCCGCACATCTCCCACCCCACACTCCATTCCTGCATGTGCTCTCCTGCCTGCAGCATCCTCCCTCCATCCCCTCCGCCCCTCAACCCTCGGTACTGGCTCCCTGCCTCACTCCTGGCCCCTGGGGCAGCTTCCTCCCAGCACGATGAAGCCCAGGTGATGGGCATGGGCACCTGGGCCAGCTCCAGCCCGCGGCACGGCTCAGCAGATGGGCTCAGGGTTTGCAGAGCGAGCGGCGGCCGAGGCGGAGGGATCAGGTGGTGGTGAGAAGAACTGCCTCACCATTGCTATGGCACCGATTAGCAAACAATATTCGCCTAATGAGCTCATGGCAATCATTGCATCCACCCCGAGAACAACGCACAGCACCCGGGTACCGCACGGGATGCAATGCACACCCATCACCGCGCACACATCGCTCCTCACGTAAGGGAGAGCAGCACACACATGTCTGTAGGGTCCTCAGCCCCGCACCCCCTCCTCCCCACACTCGCAGCCTGGCCCCATCTCCCCCGAGAGCCCGCTGGGCTGTTTGCATTCACTTCTTTCTGCCTCCTCTGCTCCGTGTCCCTGCCAGGACGCCAGCAGGGCCCCCCCTCTCTCTGCAGCTGATGCCGGGCTGCTGCGGGCACCCTGCCGGATGTGGGCAAGGATGGAGCAGAGCTGCTCCCAACAGGGAAGCCAGGACTATTCTGCAGGGTTCCTGCTTCTTGCAATGGGTTCCCACTCCCGTGGCTCCCCGCTCTCTCCCCACCGCGCTTCCAGGGACAGTGCACAGGATGTGGGTAGGGGACGTCAGCCAGGGACAGCCCCTTGCTCAGAGCTCCATCACCTTAACTCTGCCCTCCCAGCCTTCCTCCCCCCACAGGTGCTGAGCTGAGGTTACAAAGGCCCCTTCACTTCTCAGCATCCATTGCCAAGAGTGAGGGTTGCTTCTGGGATACCCCTCAGGTGAAGCCACAGCCCCAGGTCTTGCAGGAGGCTGACAGCACCATGAGAAGCTCAGGGCCATCCTCCTGTAACCCACCTCCATGTTTCCCCTTGGCTCTGACCTCCCCTTGCTCAAGGCCCATGTGAGCGACCACGGTCCCTACGAGTTTGGCTGCTGCTTCCTTTGCAAGAACTTCTGGGCTTTGACTGTCCTACAGCTGGCCAAAAACTGATGGGAGTTGGGGGAGGAAGAACAAGAGGGCCTTTGGCTTTGCTCTTCACTTCTGAATTTCCCAGTTCCCTTCTGGCAGGATTTGGTATTCCTCATCACGACCACCTGGGCTTCTCCACGGCGGTGCTCACACACCACAGCTTGCAGGAAACCCTCAGGATTCCCAGGTCTGCTGTTCAGTACAGCACTCAAGGAGCAGCGAATGGCAATGGAAGCACAGTCAACTGCAGCACTTCCTTCCCTCCCTGCGCCCTGTGATGCTGTGGCTGAGGGAGGTCCGTCCCTGTGCCCACCCCAAGGGCTGAGCTGCTCCCTTCTCCATGCTCAGTATGGAAGGAGGCTCCAAGAGGCAGCGTTTGGCAGGAGAGGAGGTGACATATTGTACAAAGCCACCCGGGACCATACTGGCCTCTGCTTGTCAGGGAAAACAGGCAGCATTAACCCTTGGGCTGCTGGGGCCAGACCCAGCTGGAGTAACTTTCCTACAGTGA